GTTAACATCACGGGGTTATCAACCTTGGGAATTAGGGAAATGATGGTCTCATTTATAGACTTAAGGAGATTACCCGTATGAAAAAAACTAGTAATGGCATTGACCATGTCACCTTTTATAATACTCCAGTATGTTTGAAAAAAGCACGGGGACATACCGTCAACTCCAGGAGCTTTGTTAGGAAACATAGAAAAAATGGCTTGTTTGATTTCCAACTCGTCCACAGGTTTAATCAACTGAGCGTTCATGAGATTGGAAATAGTGCGCGGTATGCCTTGTAGCACTTCATCAAATTCTGTTGGATTATTGGATGTGAAGAGCTTCTTGTAGTGCTTACACAATTCTTCCTCAATTTCCTGATCGCTCCTACACCACTCCCCATCATTCTTTTGGAGGATGCTGATCCTGTTTCGTTTCCTTTTGGCCATGACACTTTGGTGAAAATACGCAGTATTTTTGTCCCCCTCCTTGAGCCATCTACTTCTTGATTTCTGGCTCCAGTATAGCTCCTCCTCCTTATAGGCTTTGCTTAACTGAAGCTTCAAAGCTGTAATGACTCCCTTATTGCACATCTCATCCGCCTCTCTAGCTGCCTTCAATTGCTCCTTTGTCTCCTGAATTTTTGCCTTTGCATTACTTTTGCTGTCCCGTTCCAATCAATCAATGCAAGTCTGCACTCCTTAATTTTCCTCACTACTTTAAACATTCTGGACCCTTGTTGTTCTCTCCCCCAAGCCGTTTTAATTACCACTTCAGATGCTTTGTCTTTTGCCCATCTTTGATCAAAGAAAAACCTTCTTTTTCCTCTCCTTTGTTATGGGTTCGTATCCACCAGAAGAAGGCAGTGATCGGATGCCTCTTTTTCAATATGCTCACAAGTTACATTTTCATATAGCTGCATCCATCCAACACTCCCTAAACATCTATCCAACCTCTCCTTTACCTCACCCTTCCCGTCCCATGTATTACTCCAGGTCCAAGGAACCCCTACAAATCCTATATCCACCAGCTCATTCCCAGAAATGAAGTTATTGAAGTCCCTAAAGCTACCCTCTGATCTTTCTCTCCCTCCCCATTTCTCTCCATTAGAGCAAATATCATTAAAATCTCCCATTACAGCCCATTTATCACCCCAATCCCTCTTTTTTTTCCTCTATTGTTTTCCATTGGTGTTTCCTAACTCTATCCTCCATACTAGCATACACGCCTATCAGCCACCAGTCATCATTTGTTTGCTTATCTACTACCTTCGCAGCGATGTACCAATCCGCACCTTGTACCTCCAGCCAAACCACATGACAGGGATGGTTTTGCTTTCCTTTGAATGTGATGCATGAAAGAAAATATTTTCAAATATGTGAGGGACAAAGTTGGTCATTTCCTCATTTAATTTTAAAGGGGAAGAGTTTTACCTTTCGATTTTGCCCCTAATATATTAAGCGCGTGATTGGGGTATGTAATTCTTAGCTGGAGAGTTGATCGAATTTGATTTATGGGATTAAAGTGGTATATTTCCAAAATATAAGGCATTATTTTATGAATTAATTTTCTATACACCAACAACATATACACTTTCACCATTAGATGCATGACATGTAATCCGAATTTAAATTTGAAACTCAAATTTTGCATATGTGTCGTATATCCGATCGTGATAGTGAATACATCGTCAGTGTATAAAAGATTTACTCTTATTTTATACCATTGTAAGTATGGGGCACGAAAAAATCTTTTCTAAAAAATAAGGGACTAATTGGGTCTTTTTTTTTTATTTTTGGGCGAAGGTGCTTGGTACAAAAATCTATTTACCATAGCTGTGAGAATGAAATAGGAGGATTTACATTAATTGATCAGAACTTGATTTTGGGGTGCAGAGATGCTGAGAACATCCATGATAATTTAGCAAGAAAGAAGGAATAAGGACATAGAAGTTTTCTCCTTTCTAGTGGTGGGGTTAAATTCTTATCATTTCTTGTCATCCTCGAGCAAGTCTTTTGATCAACGTTACTTTTTTTTAAATTCAAATGATCGTCATTTTTAGAGGACAATTGTAAGTTATCTTGGAAATTATAATGAATAAAATTATCTTTTTCAATTGAAAAAATATCAAATTATACTGTAAACATTAAATTATTATGTATATCTTGGTTCAGGTGCTCATTTCCCTTTATCATACAATATAAAGGAATGGTCTGTCCTTTGGAACATCCAATAAAATTGGAACGATATAGAGAAGATTTGCAAAGACTATGCAAGTGTGACACACAAAAATGAGAAAAAAAGGATGGTCTAATTTTTTATTGGTGTTCGTTGTAGGGTTAGGTATTAAAATACAACTCAAAAAAAGATTGATGGATAAAATCAAAAGATGCGTGAATAGTATAGCACACTTAGCAATTTCCTTTGTCCTGGGCATTGGTCTCCAAAAGAATCCTTTAATGGCAGAAGAAATACCAACACGAGTTGATTTACAAGTTACAACTCATCGGATCTACAAGTTACAACTCATGGAATTATGTACTTTTGATTTTAAAACTTCAATCTTAATTACATGACTACTTCACAAAAGACTCATTTGCTAGGAAAAAAAAAACTTGGCAAGCTAGAGTGGTGGCCTGTGGGTACTAGCAGTGATATACTGATATTACACAAAATAAAGTAGTGGATGCTGCCGCGCCGGGGGAGAACATCTTTTGTTTTCTTTTGTTTTCTCTTTTCGACGTGTTTGCAGGAAAGTTAATGAGCTAGGAAAAGGGCCAAAAAAAAAAAAAAGTTATGAAGTGAGATAAAAGCGGACGAATAAAGTGGGCTTCTATTATTAGTGTTTTGAAAAGGGAAAGTGTCTCAACATAAGAAAGCAATAGACATGAGTGTCTGTAGTAAAATGATAAATCGTAAGAAAAAATATTAAAAAATGGATTATTCAATTTATTTTCTATATTTAATAATCAACTTAGCTAACGGTTGGTCAATGAGCACTCGTCACAAACATTCAAATGTTAGTTTTTTTTTTTTTTTTTGAAAAAATACAGTGAATTTAGGAAGTGTTTAAATAAATGGGGCTCAATAATTATGATTGAATTTATTCATAGGGTAATTTAAGTGTAATTTAGTTGTACTAACAAGTTCTACATTAAAAAAATCTTTTAATAATTATAATTTTTTTTAATGAGAATGGGTATTAGCTAATGCACTTGATTTATACCAAAGATTACACTGTGAAAGCACGTACTTACGCTCCTTGTCCTTCTTGAATTCAAACACACTTTCCTTATTTAATTTTAATTTACTAAATAGCTTGCGGATGAGACCTCTCTTGATGGGTCCAAGTGATGAATCCATACTTAGGTTCATACCTTAGATTTTCATATAGGAGATTTCTAACGAGTGCCTATACACCTAAATCATACCTTATTAGCTACATAAATTCACAATATATTTTTTCTAATTAATATTACTTTTTTCAAAATATGAACACTTGAAATCCATTATTGGACATTCCTTTGACAGACTCTTTCATATATAACCATTCTACTCTGAATAACTAACCTGTGATCATTAAAAATTGAACCGAAATTCAAATTAAATAAAATATTTTTATTGATTAAATGCTAGTCAAATTGATTGCAAATTCAAGCATCGCAATAGGCAGACCTTTCTGGGATCTACAGCTTCTTTTATCTTGGATCATGCACAATGCAGCAGCATTGAAGACCACTAAATCCAGGAACGCATAAAAATCATTCACATGAGAAGAATTATTCGTATATGACAGGAGACAACAAAGCAACCAATTAGTTTGAAAATTTTAGGATTAGCTTCCCCTCCCCGTGAACGGGGTTTGCTTTTAAAAAAAATGTTTGGAAGCCAAGACATCAACATGCCAAGGGCTTAGAATCTGTAGAATAAACAAATAAATTGAACTCCATTTGAAATTCCAACTTGATAAACTTGAGACTTAAATCAAACACCCAATTTCATTTGCCAAAATCTTTGATCAAAGGCTCGATTGATTTGTGAACTCCACTTTCGAGTTTCTATCAATGTATGATACAGCTTAGGTAGAAGCATTACCATTAGAATATCCAGAAAGAACAAGAGTCACGAGGATGAGTGAAACCAATTGAACGCTCCTTGATGCCATTGTGCTGTTTGTTGATGCCAAACCAATATGAACAGCACATACAACAGAACTAGCCTTGCCTATTTATAACGAAATGATATTGATAATTAGAAACGTGTCATCACTTATGTGGTTCAGATTTAGGTTCAGGTTGACCTGTATACACACTTTGACAAATGGCTTATCCGTATATTAAAGCTTTTGAAAATCCGATTCATCATCTTCGAGTGAGACAATTGACAGATTAATTGGCTATTGTCGTTTTTTGCTTTTTTTTTTTTCTCTTGAGTGGTTTTTTATGTGGAACCGTTTCTAAATGAAACTGATAGAAGACCAACTTTCAAAAAAGATTTACCAACCGTTTGGTTGGTGGGTTTTCTACTCTTCAATGGGTAGAGAAAGTGCCTTATACCCATATATAGATGATGTTTGATATACTTCTATGGGTATTGTTCAATCACAATCAAAAACCCAAAAGTAGGTAATGGTCATTACTGACCAATTTGTGGGGGGAAATGAACCCCATTGACGAATTTAATACTAAATGACATAAGAAAAATACAAAAAGAATGAAGATACGGCTATCTGTCCATAGCGACACCAGTCTTTCTTTCTTCTTGTACTCTTTTTTTTTCTCCTTTTTCCTTTTCTTTTTGTGTTTTTGTAAGCATACTGATGTTCCTTCCTTTCCTTTATTCTCTCCTCCAATCTTTTTCTTCTTCTTTTCTCTTGATGGCCAGTAGGTGGCGGTGGTCAGGGACGGAGCCAGAAATTTATTTTTGGGGGGGCTGAAGTGTATTAAAAATTTTTTTTTGTGACGAAATAAATATATTTATTAGTAAAATTTAGAATCAATAATTATAAAAATAATAAAAACATATAATTATACATACCCAAAAATTTGTTATTGATTAACACTTGAAGTATTGGTAGTTGTTGCACTCGAATAACGAAGAGGAGGCAATTGCATTCTGCGAGTCTTCATCCGTTGAAAACGTTGCAATATTTGCTCATTTTCAATTGTTGCAAAAATATCCTTCTCGATGTATACAACCAGACAGTCATTCATCCACTCGTCTCCCATTTTGTTGCGCAAATCAGTCTTGACAATATTCATTGCAGAAAATACTCTTTCAACAGAAGCAGTCGCAACTGGTAGAACTAATGCCAACTGGATCAGACGATAAACAAATGGAAAAACTGTATTTTTACCAGTTTTAACCATTTGTTGAGCAAGACTTCCCAAATCTCCAACTTCTGAAAATTGAGGATCGCGTTGCACATTATAAATATAATTTCGAAGTTGAGACTCAAGATATAAATAATCGTTACTTGAGAAGTCTTCAGGATATAAATCAGCAAGACGGAGTAGTTTCTGCACATTGAATTGAGAGAAAGAACTTTTTGGATCAAGACATGCTATGCAACTAAGCAATTCCGTGCTAACTTCCGAGAAACGATTATTCATCTCTTGTATAATTAAATCAACAACCTGACATCACAACAATAATAAAATTAATAACTAAGAAAATCTGCTAACAAGTAACAAATGTAATGAAATAATAATTTCAAAAATAATACCTCACAAAAAATTTCCACGCGATAATGATGAAAATTAGTGATGGTTTGACCTCTGCGACTGCGCCTGGCATTGCCACGGATTGCTATACTGTCTTCCATATCAATCACGGGAATCATATTCAACTCACAAAAATTGTTGACTTCATCTAAAATTATTTGCCATCCCTCTTCCCTAAAGTCTTGCAATTGAGATTTCATAGTATCAATCAAACTCATGGCTTGGACAATATTTTGATCCCTTTGTTGCAAAACAAGTGACAAGTCATTTGTGATTCCCAATAAATACTTCATCAGGTGCAATGCAAAAACAAACTCATAATCATTCATTCTATCAATCAAACCCCTGGCCATACCTCTATTGTCAGAAGTGGAGGCATCATCTTGTATATTTCCCAATATTCCAATCACCGAAGCCCACATAGAGGATAGACGAAGTAATGTTAGATAGTGTGATCCCCAACGAGTATCCCCTGGTCTTGCTAAACTAGTTTCTTGATTTTTGCCTTTTCCACTAATAATATCTCCACTGTCTAAAAGTGTAACAATCTTATCATGTTCTATTTGTCTTAATTGATCTCTCCTTTTACATGATACTCCAGTTAAATTGACAATCATAGAGACATAGACAAAGAATTCACTGACAATGATATTTCCCTTAGCAACAGCAACAATAACTAACTGGAGTTGGTGAGCAAAACAGTGAATATACATCGCATAGGGATTTTCTTGTAATATAAGGGCCTTCAAACCATTGAACTCACCTCGCATATTTGAAGCTCCATCATATCCTTGACCTCTCAATTTGGATAATGATAATCCGTGTTGCGCGAATAAAGAATCAATTGCATCTTTCAAACAAAGAGATGTGGTGTCAGACACATGTACAATTGCAAGGAAACGTTCAATCACACGCCCTTCTTTGTTCACATATCTCAAAATAACTCCCATTTGCTCTTTCACTGAACTGTCTCGAGACTCATCAACTATTAGGGAAAAATAATTGTCTCCAATATCATTGATTATAACACTTGTGATCTCTGAGGCACAAGCATGTGCCAGCTCTTTTTGAATCATTGGAGAAGTTAGTTGATTATTTGCAGGAGCATTTTGATTTACAACCTCAAAAATCTCAGTATTTCGCTGGCTATACCACTCAAACAATTCAAGAAAATTGCCTCTATTTGAAGAACTAGTTGACTCATCATTTCCACGAAAAGCCAATCCTTGCTTCAAAAGAAAGCGGGTCACATCCAGAGCAGCAGTTAAACGGGTGCGATATGCAATATCTATTTCGCGCCCACAAGATCGTAGCACATTTGACACACTATGCCTTTGATCTTGAAAACTTTCAAACTGTATTCTAGCATCATTATGGCAACTATTCACAGCTCCAATATGTTCATTAAATCTTTCCATTGCCTTTTTCCAATTATTGAATCCCGTTTTTGTAAAGGCATCCTCTGCATATCGACCTCCCTTATTTTGTGTTTTGAAAAGAAAGCACCAAAAGCAAAACGCCGCATCTTTCGATATGCTATACTCTAACCATACAAACTTTTGATACCAACTATCTTGGAAACTTCTATGTTGTTTACCAAATGATGTTTTTGGATACATATGGCCAATCGGTTGGCAAGGTCCCCTAGTCAAATACTCTCTTCGGACATGGTCTCGAAGAGAAATATCAAATTTCTCAACTGATTTTCGTAATCCCGGATCACTAACAATATCATTTAAATTCAATTCCACACAAGATTGATTTTGAACTGGTTCACTAATATTAGGCTCATTTGAAGATTCACCACTACGGACTCGTTTAGGTTTAAAGAATCTCTCCATTTTCTGTCACAATTAAATAATTGTGGTTAAATTCAATAAAATTATGCAATTCAATAATCAATTAATTTAAAATTCATATAAATAATTCTTTAATTTAATAATAAATTCATATTACTTATATTTCTCAATTTATAAAATTCATTATATAAAATTATCAAAAAGTTAAAATAAGGTACAACTAAATACCCATATAATTTCTAATTCAATCTCATAAAATTTTGAATTTATATTTACATTCAAAATTTCTAATTCACATAATTAATTCTTAAAATTTCAAATATAAAACTAACAAAATTTTAAAAACTAAATACAACCTAAAATCTATACAATTTCTAAACTAATTTCTAATTTAAATTTAATATCATTAAATTTTTTAATGTAATCTTTCAAATTCTTAAATTACATTAACATAAACTAAATAAAAATTAATCTTAATCAAATTAATATCAAGATACTCAAAATTCAAAAATAATTTAAACATATAATTAACAAAAATATAAAGATGAATATTGTAATTTAAACCAAAAAACTAACCTAAAAGATTTATGTGAATGGAATGGTGGAGAGTTGGAGTCTTGGAGCCTTGAATTGAAGGCTTGAAGCAGGATGGTAGAATCTCAACTGAAGCTTCTTGGAGTTCTTGGAGCCTGGCGTGAGTGGCGTCTTCTTCTTGGAGTTGGAGACTTGGAGTCTTCGTGAGTGGCTTCGGTGTTTGGCCTTTGGCCTTTGGCATTGGCGGCGTGCTTTTGCATCAGATGAAGCCTTAGGGCTTCATCTGATGTATTTTTTTTCCCTCATTATACAAAACGACGTCGTTCCACTAAAAGTGAAACGACGTCGTTTTGTATTTAGAGGGCAAAAAAAAAATTCAACATAAATTGGGTCATCTTCTTCCTCGGACCTCAGCAGTCAGCAGACTCAGCAGTCAGCACGGCAGGCTGGCAGCGGCTTTCCAGGCCCAGCTCTTCTTCACTTCCTCTGCAGCATTCATGGAGGCATGGAGCCATGGAGGATGGTAGATCTGGATCACCGTGGGGGGACTGGGCTGGGCTGGGCTGGCCGCCGGAATCCCCTATATGGCTATATATAGGGGATTTTCCGGCGGCTTGGGGGGGGCTTAAGCCCCCACCAGCCCCCCCTTAAATCCGTGCCTGGCGGTGGTGTTGGTGGCCATTGTGAATTGCTTGGGTGAAGCTTTTGGTTTTTTGGCAATTATTGTGACTTTGACAAATTTTTCTTTATGAAACCTTAACACCCGTAATTTTGTGATTTGCAGGCAAAACATAGCATCACCTTGTGTCTGTCTGTGTGTTTTTTTTTTTTTTTTGGTCTTCAAGATTTTAAGTTTGACTCCATGTGTTATTGGACAATTCGATGTCAAATTAATTTAAATTTTAACTTCTCCAAAGTGAGATGATTTTTTTGATAGTCATTTGGTATATAAATTTTTTGAACTAGTTGAAGTGGCTTGCCACTTTAGTGGTGATGGTGGTTGAAAGTGGTTAAGGTTTAGTATTGGAACTTAGGAAGAAGAAGGGAAAATAAAAAAAAAATTGAAAACCCATTCCTTTTGATTACAATACCAAACAATCAATAAGTTTTTGGCAATACTCATTGCCATCGAAGAATTTTTATAGCCATTGCTACTGCTATTCCGTAGGGTATGCCAAACGGGTGGTTGGATATGGCAACCAACACGCCTGAGGATGGAGAAATAAGGCAGGGGTGGGAGTGGGGGATTTTTTAACCCCACCTCAAGTGGGGCAAGGGATGGGGGAACATATCACGCTCCATCCCCCGCCTAAATTTTGACGTAGTATAACATCTATGTATGTTTATATATATATATATAGAGAGAGAGAGAGAGAGAGAAAACTAGAAGGAATTAGGCTGTGCAAGCACAGCTTAGCCCTACCTATAAAATTCTGGTTAAATGCATCACATTATAATTGCTTTCAAATAAAGAGCAATTACAATTGCTAAAAAATAAGGTTTATTTTTAGTAGAATGTTCCAAAAGTTTGCTCCAACTTGCTTATTGTAATGTAGTAGAGATATATTGTTGTATTGTATGGACAAATAGCGATAAAGAATTTAAAAACCAAACACATGAAAAATGCAAAACCAGTTCAAAATGACAGGATGGTTTTTTTCGGCTCAAATGTTCTGATGGAAAAATTGGTCGTTATTGCATTGAAGCGTAGGATTGGGATTTCGCCATTTGTCTTTAAGAAATGTTGTGGAATTTAAAGTCCCCAATTCAGATGAAGGGTCTGTTTGGTTGGAAGTAAAATGTTTTCCTTGGGAAAATATTTTCCGTGGAAGTAATTTTCCATGAAAATCATTTCCCTTTCATCATTTTCAGGTGTTGGAAAATCATTAACTCTCTAAGCGTGGACTTGTTAAGTTGGAAAAGTCAAGTCATTGGGCAGATTTAATGCATCAAGTCATTAGGCCAATGGCCACTTGCCATTTGGTCCAGTGGTCATCACCATATTTGGTGATGCTGGAGGTCAGGGGTTCAACCCCTGCCTCCCACAAATTTGCCACAATATGTGGCTGTAGGGATGGCAACGGGGCAGGGTTGGGGCGGGGGACCCCTCCCCCGTCCCCCGCCCCGTTGCCTATTAGTTCCCCCCATCCCCCGCCCCGTCCCCCGCCTCCCGCTCCCCCCGCCCCGCCTTGCCCCGCTTCCCCCGCGGGGGCACCCGCGGGGTTAATAAAATTTTATTATATAATTTTATTATAATTAAATTTTAATAAATAATCAAGTACTAAAATATTAACACATCACAAAATTATTATTCATTGTAATTTTACAATTGAAACTCATAAAAACAATCAAACAGAAGTTATTTGAATACAATCCAATATGATGAAATAAATATAACTAAAATAGTCAAATTTTCACTTTTAGTACAAATGCAATCACTAATTCATCATTGTGTTTGTGCTTTTTTTTGAGAAAAAATGTTATTCTATTAAGTGTAATTAGAAATTTAGTATAAATGTATTAGTAAATTTAGTATAACTAATTAATAAATTCTATTAGTAGACATGTATAATTATTAATATAATTGATAATATCAATTATATTACATAAACTAATATACATTATATAATACATCTAACTAATAATATCATTATCATAAGTTTACAACTAATTAACTTACATATAATATATAGTCATTTATATATATATATATATATTTTGCGGGTGGCGGGGCGGGGGATGGGGCGGGGGTATACCCCCCGCCCCCCGCCCCGTTTCTAAGCGGGGGGAAAAAATTCCCCCCCGCCCCCGCCCCACCCCCCGCCCCAACCCCCGCCCCGTGAGCCCCCCGCGGGCACCCGAGCTACATAAATTCACAATATATTTTTTCTAATTAATATTACTTTTTTCAAATATGAACACTTGAATCCATTATTGGACATTCCTTTGACAGACTCTTTCATATATAACCATTCTACTCTGAATAACTAACCTGTGATCATTAAAATTGAACCGAAATTCAAATTAAATAAAATATTTTTATTGATTAAATGCTAGTCAAATTGATTGCAAATTCAAGCATCGCAATAGGCAGACCTTTCTGGGATCTACAGCTTCTTTTATCTTGGATCATGCACAATGCAGCAGCATTGAAGACCACTAAATCCAGGAACGCATAAAAATCATTCACATGAGAAGAATTATTCGTATATGACAGGAGACAACAAAGCAACCAATTAGTTTGAAAATTTTAGGATTAGCTTCCCCTCCCCGTGAACGGGGTTTGCTTTTAAAAAAAATGTTTGGAAGCAAGACATCAACATGCCAAGGGCTTAGAATCTGTAGAATAAACAAATAAATTGAACTCCATTTGAAATTCCAACTTGATAAACTTGAGACTTAAATCAAACACCCAATTTCATTTGCCAAAATCTTTGATCAAAGGCTCGATTGATTTGTGAACTCCACTTTCGAGTTCTATCAATGTATGATACAGCTTAGGTAGAAGCATTACCATTAGAATATCCAGAAAGAACAAGAGTCACGAGGATGAGTGAAACCAATTGAACGCTCCTTGATGCCATTGTGCTGTTTGTTGATGCCAAACCAATATGAACAGCACATACAACAGAACTAGCCTTGCCTATTTATAACGAAATGATATTGATAATTAGAACGTGTCATCACTTATGTGGTTCAGATTTAGGTTCAGGTTGACCTGTATACACACTTTGACAAATGGCTTATCCGTATATTAAAGCTTTTGAAAATCCGATTCATCATCTTCGAGTGAGACAATTGACAGATTAATTGGCTATTGTCGTTTTTTGCTTTTTTTTTTTTCTCTTGAGTGGTTTTTTATGTGGAACCGTTTCTAAATGAAACTGATAGAAGACCAACTTTCAAAAAAGATTTACCAACCGTTTGGTTGGTGGGTTTTCTACTCTTCAATGGGTAGAGAAAGTGCCTTATACCCATATATAGATGATGTTTGATATACTTCTATGGGTATTGTTCAATCACAATCAAAAACCCAAAAGTAGGTAATGGTCATTACTGACCAATTTGTGGGGGGAAATGAACCCATTGACGAATTTAATACTAAATGACATAAGAAAAATACAAAAGAATGAAGATACGGCTATCTGTCCATAGCGACACCAGTCTTTCTTTCTTCTTGTACTCTTTTTTTTTTCTTTTTTCCTTTTCTTTTTGTGTTTTTGTAAGCATACTGATGTTCCTTCCTTTCCTTTATTCTCTCCTCCAATCTTTTTCTTCTTCTTTTCTCTTGATGGCCAGTAGGTGGCGGTGGTCAGGGACGGAGCCAGAAATTTATTTTTGGGGGGCTGAAGTGTATTAAAAATTTTTTTTTGTGACGAAATAAATATATTTAATAAGTAAAATTTAGAATCAATAATTATAAAATAATAAAAACATATAATTATACATACCCAAAAATTTGTTATTGATTAACACTTGAAGTATTGGTAGTTGTTGCACTCGAATAACGAAGAGGAGGCAATTGCATTCTGCGAGTCTTCATCCGTTGAAAACGCTGCAATATTTGCTCATTTTCAATTGTTGCAAAAATATCCTTCTCGATGTATACAACCAGACAGTCATTCATCCACTCGTCTCCCATTTTGTTGCGCAAATCAGTCTTGACAATATTCATTGCAGAAAATACTCTTTCAACAGAAGCAGTCGCAACTGGTAGAACTAATGCCAACTGGATCAGACGATAAACCAATGGAAAAACTGTATTTTTACCAGTTTTAACCATTTGTTGAGCAAGACTTCCCAAATCTCCAACTTCTGAAAATTGAGGATCGCGTTGCACATTATAAATATAATTTCGAAGTTGAGACTCAAGATATAAATAATCGTTACTTGAGAAGTCTTCAGGATATAAATCAGCAAGACGGAGTAGTTTCTGCACATTGAATTGAGAGAAAGAACTTTTTGGATCAAGACATGCTATGCAACTAAGCAATTCCGTGCTAACTTCCGAGAAACGATTATTCATCTCTTGTATAATTAAATCAACAACCTGACATCACAACAATAATAAAATTAATAACTAAGAAAATCTGCTAACAAGTAACAAATGTAATGAAATAATAATTTCAAAAATAATACCTCACAAAAAATTTCCACGCGATAATGATGAAAATTAGTGATGGTTTGACCTCTGCGACTGCGCCTGGCATTGCCACGGATTGCTATACTGTCTTCCATATCAATCACGGGAATCATATTCAACTCACAAAAATTGTTGACTTCATCTAAAATTATTTGCCATCCCTCTTCCCTAAAGTCTTGCAATTGAGATTTCATAGTATCAATCAAACTCATGGCTTGGACAATATTTTGATCCCTTTGTTGCAAAACAAGTGACAAGTCATTTGTGATTCCCAATAAATACTTCATCAGGTGCAATGCAAAAACAAACTCATAATCATTCATTCTATCAATCAAACCCCTGGCCATACCTCTATTGTCAGAAGTGGGCATCATCTTGTATATTTCCCAATATTCCAATCACCGAAGCCCACATAGAGGATAGACGAAGTAATGTTAGATAGTGTGATCCCCAACGAGTATCCCCTGGTCTTGCTAAACTAGTTTCTTGATTTTTGCCTTTTCCACTAATAATATCTCCACTGTCTAAAAGTGTAACAATCTTATCATGTTCTATTTGTCTTAATTGATCTCTCCTTTTACATACTCCAGTTAAATTGACAATCATAGAGACATAGACAAAGAATTCACTGACAATGATATTTCCCTTAGCAACAGCAACAATAACTAACTGGAGTTGGTGAGCAAAACAGTGAATATACATCGCATAGGGATTTTCTTGTAATATAAGGGCCTTCAAACCATTGAACTCACCTCGCATATTTGAAGCTCCATCATATCCTTGACCTCTCAATTTGGATAATGATAATCCGTGTTGCGCGAATAAAGAATCAATTGCATCTTTCAAACAAAGAGATGTGGTGTCAGACACATGTACAATTGCAAGGAAACGTTCAATCACACGCCCTTCTTTGTTCACATATCTCAAAACAACTCCCATTTGCTCTTTCACTGAACTGTCTCGAGACTCATCAACTATTAGGGAAAAATAATTGTCTCCAATATCATTGATTATAACACTTGTGATCTCTGAGGCACAAGCATGTGCCAGATCTTTTTGAATCATTGGAGAAGTTAGTTGATTATTTGCAGGAGCATTTTGATTTACAACCTCAAAAATCTCAGTATTTCGCTGGCTATACCACTCAAACAATTCAAGAAAATTGCCTCTATTTGAAGAACTAGTTGACTCATCATTTCCACGAAAAGCCAATCCTTGCTTCAAAAGAAAGCGGGTCACATCCAGAGCAGCAGTTAAACGGGTGCGATATGCAATATCTATTTCGCGCCCACAAGATCGTAGCACATTTGACACACTATGCCTTTGATCTTGAAAACTTTCAAACTGTATTCTAGCATCATTATGGCAACTATTCACAGCTCCAATATGTTCATTAAATCTTTCCATTGCCTTTTTCCAATTATTGAATCCCGTTTTTGTAAAGGCATCCTCTGCATATCGACCTCCCTTATTTTGTGTTTTGAAAAGAAAGCACCAAAAGCAAAACGCCGCATCTTTCGATATGCTATACTCTAACCATACAAACTTTTGATACCAACTATCTTGGAAACTTCTATGTTGTTTACCAAATGATGTTTTTGGATACATATGGCCAATCGGTTGGCAAGGTCCCCTAGTCAAATACTCTCTTCGGACATGGTCTCGAAGAGAAATATCAAATTTCTCAACTGATTTTCGTAATCCCGGATCACTAACAATATCATTTAAATTCAATTCCACACAAGATTGATTTTGAACTGGTTCACTAATATTAGGCTCATTTGAAGATTCACCACTACGGACTCGTTTAGGTTTAAAGAATCTCTCCATTTTCTGTCACAATTAAATAATTGTGGTTAAATTCAATAAAATTATGCAATTCAATAATCAATTAATTTAAAATTCATATAAATAATTCTTTAATTTAATAATAAATTCATATTACTTATATTTCTCAATTTATAAAATTCATTATATAAAATTATCAAAAAGTTAAAATAAGGTACAACTAAATACCCATATAATTTCTAATTCAATCTCATAAAATTTTGAATTTATATTTACATTCAAAATTTCTAATTCACATAATTAATTCTTAAAATTTCAAATATAAAACTAACAAAATTTTAAAAACTAAATACAACCTAAAATCTATACAATTTCTAAACTAATTTCTAATTTAAATTTAATATCATTAAATTTTTTAATGTAATCTTTCAAATTCTTAAATTACATTAACATAAACTAAATAAAAATTAATCTTAATCAAATTAATATCAAGATACTCAAAATTCAAAAATAATTTAAACATATAATTAACAAAAATATAAAGATGAATATTGTAATTTAAACCAAAAAACTAACCTAAAAGATTTATGTGAATGGAATGGTGGAGAGTTGGAGTCTTGGAGCCTTGAATTGAAGGCTTGAAGCAGGATGGTAGAATCTCAACTGAAGCTTCTTGGAGTTCTTGGAGCCTGGCGTGAGTCTTCTTGGAGTTGGAGACTTGGAGTCTTGTTGCTTCGGTGTTTGGCCTTTGGCCTTTGGCATTGGCGCGTGCTTTTGCATCAGATGAAGCCTTAGGGCTTCATCTGATGTATTTTTTTTTTCCCTCATTATACAAAACGACGTCGTTCCACTAAAAGTGAAACGACGTCGTTTTGTATTTAGAGGGCAAAAAAAAAATTCAACATAAATTGGGTCATCTTCTTCCTCGGACCTCAGCAGTCACAGCAGTCAGCACAGGCTGGCAGCGGCTTTCCAGGCCCAGCTCTTCTTCACTTCCTCTGCAGCATTCATGGAGGCATGGAGCCATGGAGGATGGTAGATCTGGATCACCGTGGGGGACTGGGCTGGGCTGGGCTGGCCGCCGGAATCCCTATATGGCTATATATAGGGGATTTTCCGGCGGCTTGGGGGGGGCTTAAGCCCCCACCAGCCCCCCTTAAATCCGTGCCTGGCGGTGGTGTTGGTGGCCATTGTGAATTGCTTGGGTGAAGCTTTTGGTTTTTTGGCAATTATTGTGACTTTGACAAATTTTTCTTTATGAAACCTTAACACCCGTAATTTTGTGATTTGCAGGCAAAACATAGCATCACCTTGTGTCTGTCTGTGTGTTTTTTTTTTTTTTTGGTCTTCAAGATTTTAAGTTTGACTCCATGTGTTATTGGACAATTCGATGTCAAATTAATTTAAATTTTAACTTCTCCAAAGTGAGATGATTTTTTTGATAGTCATTTGGTATATAAATTTTTTGAACTAGTTGAAGTGGCTTGCCACTTTAGTGGTGATGGTGGTTGAAAGTGGTTAAGGTTTAGTATTGGAACTTAGGAAGAAGAAGGGAAAATAAAAAAAAAATTGAAAACCCATTCCTTTTGATTACAATACCAAACAATCAATAAGTTTTTGGCAATACTCATTGCCATCGAAGAATTTTTATAGCCATTGCTACTGCTATTCCGTAGGGTATGCCAAACGGGTGGTTGGATATGGCAACCAACACGCCTGAGGATGGAGAAATAAGGCAGGGGTGGGAGTGGGGGATTTTTTAACCCCACCTCAAGTGGGGCAAGGGATGGGGGAACATATCACGCTCCATCCCCCGCCTAAATTTTGACGTAGTATAACATCTATGTATGTTTATATATATATATATAGAGAGAGAGAGAGAGAGAGAAAACTAGAAGGAATTAGGCTGTGCAAGCACAGCTTAGCCCTACCTATAAAATTCTGGTTAAATGCATCACATTATAATTGCTTTCAAATAAAGAGCAATTACAATTGCTAAAAAATAAGGTTTATTTTTAGTAGAATGTTCCAAAAGTTTGCTCCAACTTGCTTATTGTAATGTAGTAGAGATATATTGTTGTATTGTATGGACAAATAGCGATAAAGAATTTAAAAACCAAACACATGAAAAATGCAAAACCAGTTCAAAATGACAGGATGGTTTTTTTCGGCTCAAATGTTCTGATGGAAAAATTGGTCGTTATTGCATTGAAGCGTAGGATTGGGATTTCGCCATTTGTCTTTAAGAAATGTTGTGGAATTTAAAGTCCCCAATTCAGATGAAGGGTCTGTTTGGTTGGAAGTAAAATGTTTTCCTTGGGAAAATATTTTCCGTGGAAGTAATTTTCCATGAAAATCATTTCCCTTTCATCATTTTCAGGTGTTGGAAAATCATTAACTCTCTAAGCGTGGACTTGTTAAGTTGGAAAAGTCAAGTCATTGGGCAGATTTAATGCATCAAGTCATTAGGCCAATGGCCACTTGCCATTTGTCGGTCAGTGGTCATCACCATATTTGGTGATGCTGGAGGTCAGGGGTTCAACCCCTGCCTCCCACAAATTTGCCACAATATGTGGCTGTAGGGATGGCAACGGGGCAGGGTTGGGGCGGGGGACCCCTCCCCCGTCCCCCGCCCCGTTGCCTATTAGTTCCCCCCATCCCCCGCCCCGTCCCCGCCTCCCGCCCCCCGCCCCGCCTTGCCCCGCTTCCCCGCGGGGGCACCCGCGGGTTAATAAAATTTTATTATATAATTTATTATAATTAAATTTTAATAAATAATCAAGTACTAAAATATTAACACATCACAAAATTATTATTCATTGTAATTTTACAATTGAAACTCATAAAAACAATCAAACAGAAGTTATTTGAATACAATCCAATATGATGAAATAAATATAACTAAAATAGTCAAATTTTCACTTTTAGTACAAATGCAATCACTAATTCATCATTGTGTTTGTGCTTTTTTTGAGAAAAAAATGTTATTCTATTAAGTGTAATTAGAAATTTAGTATAAATGTATTAGTAAATTTAGTATAACTAATTAATAAATTCTATTAGTAGACATGTATAATTATTAATATAATTGATAATATCAATTATATTACATAAACTAATATACATTATATAATACATCTAACTAATAATATCATTATCATAAGTTTACAACTAATTAACTTACATATAATATATAGTCATTTATATATATATATATATATTTTTTTGCGGGTGGCGGGGCGGGGGATGGGGGGGGGAGTATACCCCCGCCCCCCGCCCCGTTTCTAAGCGGGGGGAAAAAATTCCCCCCGCCCCCGCCCCACCCCCCGCCCAACCCCCGCCCGTGAGCCCCGCGGGCACCCG